TCACAAATATAAAAAATAATAACATATTGTTGCTAACCTACTAAAGTTAATTCATATGTAGCATGTCTGGACAGCTATTGGATTATTTCAATGCAGTTTACCTGAGCTCTCACTTTGGAGACCAGTTTTTTCAGGTTGCCAGTACGTTACAAAAACTTTTTCACATACAAGAATGGATAAATCAAAAAAATACAGTTAAGAATGACTAAGTACCTGGAGGTTGAATGTGAGAGAAAACCTCAGATTCAGAAGGAGAATTAGGTTTATTGCCAAGTAGCTTTGCACTTACAAGGAATTTAACTTGGTGTTGATGGTACAGACAAATTTGATATGTACAGAAAATCTATATCTATATAAAATATACTATATACAATATATAGTATAAAGCCATATACAATATACACTGGGGGGAGGGAGAGAGGCAGTGTGAATGCTACAGGGGTCTGTTGGCCTTACTGATAAGGCTGGTAGCAGATTGGAAGAAACTGTTTTTGTTGCTCGAGGTTTTGGTCTTGATGGACCGCGACCTCCTGCCAGAGTGGAGTGACTGAAATAGTTTTAGGCTGAGTTACGAGGGATCAGCCACAATCTTCCCTGCATGCGTCAGAGTCCTGGAGGCCTTCAGATCCTGCAGAGATGAAAAACTTGGAAAAATATGCAAATCCAATGTAGAGAGCCTTCCAGAACTGAGATTTGAACTGGAGATAAAAAACAAAAATCATACTGTACTTTCTGATCTTTAACAAGTGAAACACTATTAATCTTTCAAAGCAGAGTTTAGTCTAACATATAAAACCAATCCTGGGCTCTAAAGTCAGGTTTAAGTTTTGTTACATTTTTTGATCAAAAACTTAGGGAGAGATGAAAACCATAATCACCTTTAACTTTGCTTGTCCTAAGATTTAGCAATGTCATAACCTTACATAAACTCATCTTCAGCATGCAGTTAATCTTAGGATCTTTTAATTTGCATTTAAGCAAGCTTCTAATGGTAGTGTCATTATTCAGTATCCAACTCTAATCCATGTTGGGTCAAAAATATAAATAACTGCCAAATATTTACACATACAACCACTAATACTGTATTTGGTGATATGTCCTCTAGCCAGTTGAAAGGTCTGGCCATCAATAAGTTCCTATCATATTTTCTGCTATATTTCTAACCACGCTTCTCAGAAATGGTTGTCTATTTATATTCATTGATTTCCTGCCATAAGCCCAGCTTTTAAGCATTGTCCATAAATCTTAAATAGGGTTTAGGTCATGGCTTTTCCACAAGCTTAATGTTTTATCCCTTCTTAAACCTCTATTGGTGTGTTTGAGATCCTTGCCCTGTTTGAACATCAAAACATTTCCACTATCTCTCTGTCAGACTGAGGTTAAGATGGAAAATTTGTAGATGGTCTTTTTTCTTCATTATTCTACTCATGTTGTACAATGCAACGGTTCTACTGGCAACAAAAGACTCTTTTTCATGGTTGGCTACCTTAAAAGTTTATCTTTGAATTTAAAACCACATAATTTTATATATAAAAGCATCAATTCAACCCATCAAACATGATTATTTTATTTAAGAAAAAAATCATATTGTGACTTCTAATAATTAAACATTTACATAATTTGTCTATAAGAGGTTGTTTGGCTTGTGGGAACAAGTTTACTTGGAAGAGTTGATTTTGGGTTCTTATTATATGTTTATGTTAACCCTACTTGAGCATGGAAAATGAAAATTTATTTTCAAGCAGGCATTCAAGCTTGGGTCATTGTGGTTTTGTTCAAAAGCACCTCGCTGTGTTACTCACAGGTGATCATATAATAGAAGACTCTTGGATTTTGGAGGTTTATGACATTACAAAAAAGGGTGGCAAAATCTTCTTTCCATAGACAGATAATTTTTCTTACTATGTCAAATAAGGAGCAAATACACTTACTTCAAGATTTTTATATTATCTTTATATCCATTTTTGCACCATTTGTTTATGTGGGTTGAAATTTGACTCATTTTTTTTTTTTTTTCCAGCTGTTCTCATGACATTAAAATGCATTGAAGCTGGTTTTCGAAAGAAATAAATATGAGGAATATTAAACTCAGGGAATAGCCTAAAACTCAATCCTATACTGAAAATATATTTACTGAAATTAAAATCCTGGACTTCAACCATATAAATAAGCTCAATTAAATCCATTATGAAATACTGTCAAGGTGATATTTTGAGGTCAATGCCTATACCAATGTTTATAACTAAATTTATAAAAGTGTTTATTAGGTTGCATGTAAATACATGGGCTTCTATCTATATATATTCTATTAAATTAGTTCATAAAGATGTGTTCTTTGACATTCAGTTAAAGTGGTAATAAAGCTGGAAATGCTAAATTGCATCATGATCATAGTGCTTTTTTTCTGCATTGTATTTTGTGTTCTGCAATCTCTACGAGTAAATGTTTTAGAGATTACTAGATGGATTTGTCTTTTAACTGTTAAAGAAAACTTAGAAAAATATATTAAAAGATCATCAGGACATTATCCTTACTGTTATTGTTTGCTGTACAACAGATTGAATGCCATACCATTTAGTAATCACTTTTGATCTTATAGTAAGTACAGCTGAGTGATACGTAATGAGGTGGTTTTGTTCACTATTTCTGCAGAGTACATAGAAAGAGAGCAGGGGTAATTTGATATATATTCTTGCAGGATGCTGAAGGAAAATTGATGTCTAGTAAGTAATGGATTTTATAAATCTTTCCACCTTCATTTAGGGATATCTCCCAATATGCATTACTAATCCCTGTGATAAAAGGCTATAAATGTACAAGAGAGTCTAAAAAGAGACAATAAAACTGTTTTGCAACTAATGCAAGTTCAGTGACAAAACGGAATTTCCATCTTTAAAATCTATAGCACCCTCCAAATTTATAAGCCGTGTCTGGAAAAGCAGAAGAAAACAGCATAAAAAAACCTTAATATATATTCATGGTTCTTGCAGTAACATAATCTTATTCTAGATTTTTTTTTCAATATTCTCCTATGTTCTCAAAATGTCCTTAAAAATGTTGTATCTGTATCTAAGTATCTGTTGGTGTAGTACATAAACACATTTAGAAATATAGTTACCCATATGTTAAAAATAAAATCATTTTGAATACTGACCAGGGTAAATATGCTGTAAATGGGGTTAAAAAAAAAAAGAATATGTTAAAAGACATCTCTGTGATTTGACCACAGTGGTTGTTCAAGAAGGCCTTTATGCTGAGCTGTAAAGTATTTTTTTTCTTGGTTGTTAAACAATATCCTTGTTAAAAATCCAGCTTGTTATCTAGACAAAGTTACAAAACATAAAAAACAGCCAAGATAAGTGATACTTTCTGCTCTAATGTATTGCATTTTCATGTTACTGAGATTTCCATTTCTCCACCTGAACAGAAAGCATCAAAGTGACTCATTAACTTTTAAAGTTTGCTCATTTGTTTTCCTTGGTTTTACTTTATACCTTTGTCCAGTCCTTAGCACATGAATGTAACGCCTTGATAACTATTCTGTAGTTAAAGCCTACGGTTGTCATAAACTTTAGAGACAACGCCCAAGGTGGGTGGACTTTTTTAACCTTGCAAATAAACCTAAGTGACATTCTGCATTTTAACAACTACAAAAAATAAGCTAGAAATACCAATTGCTCCAATGATTCAATGAAAAAACATAATCTTTTTCTTTTTCAAATGGTGTTTAACTTAGTACTTAATGTTCTTACCACTTAAACACAAAAGATTACCTATTTAGTTTACAGAAAAGAAGAAAAATATGGTTGGAGTCAATTAAAAAATGTCACCTAGTTTAAAATCATCAGATTGAAACCAACTTCAATTAATGGATTTAAAAAAAAAAAATCCAGATTTGTAGCTAAATATACTACTTTATGCAAGCTTTAAATCACACCAATTATAGCCCAAATAAAATAAAAAAAATTACTGATGTTTTTACTTAAAAGTTGCTCTAAGATGAGAGAGAGAGAGATAACTAAATTCTAAGAGAAACAGAAACAAGTCAAACATTACTCCCATCATCCAGCAACTGTGAAGCTTTCTACAAGAACAGAGATAACAGACTTCTTGAAGAATTTTAGGTCCCTCCTTAGTACATGTAGTACATGTTCTACAAATGTGTTTCAGAGGATGGGATCTCTTCTGTGATTATCTGTACATTAGAGCAAATGACTTAAAACAGCTCAACAAGCTATTAAGAATAACAGCTCTAGAAATGAGTTTCCAAAAAAAAACTCTTTATAAAATGCAAAATTTTGGGATAAACCTAAACACCATCTTCATGATATGACTATAAAAAAAACAGAGTGTGTTTACTGAAAGGCTCCTTCAGATAGATGTATCTTCATTTTTATCTTCACAAATATTTTAAAACAAAGACGCCTCCATTATAATATCCTCAATATGTTAGGTGCTGGAAAAATAAGCCTTAGGCTCACTTTTTTTAAATGTTATTAGTACAGTAGTGCTTTGTCTTGGCACACAGTGGGATAACATTAAGGACTGAAAACCTCATGTCTAAGATGTGCATAATTGTTATTCTATAACTTTTTTTCCGTGAAAAATAGAAATGCTGTTGAAATGGCACTGTTGTTCCCTCCTAGGAGTTCAAACCTCCTAAAACATCAAGATCAACAGGCTTTCACAGTCAAATCTTTTGTCATTTCTATACAAATATTTTCAGGATGCTTTCCGCTTTATTTTGACTGTGTCTACTATAATTGCCCAAAATGCTACCTGCAGTGTGTACCTTTGACCACTGAACAGATGACTGCTCACCTCTTGATGAAAAGCTGCACATAGCCAGACTGTCCTAACACGCGACACTGTTAAATAACTCAGCCTTTAGGCTCACCTTTGAGCTGCCAAAGTCCACGAGGAGAGATGGAGAAGAGGGAGGGGGCAGCTATAAGATGCGATAACAGCTAATCAGTGACAGGTGAGCTCCGCTTTAGAAGTGGACGGCGGGCAGAGACGAGCAGGTAAGCAAATGAGCAAATATTTTTTGCATGTCTTTCTTTAATCATAAAAATAACTAAAAAATGATATAAAATGTATGTAAGGACAATTTAGATTGACAAAAACATGTAAATGTTAAAATGCCAGTGAGATTGTTAATGTTGTAAATGTAGAATGAACAATACAGCAAAAAGAAGAAGAAAAAAACCCACAACTGCTCGCTTCAAACTTACTGATTACAGAGACTAACATTTTTAATGAACAAGTGGATTATAAACCTCTTTAGGCCAATTAAAAAGAGAACAAATTTCCCACTTTCGGGTGACCACACCAAAACAGTTACTACAGGATGTTTCTGATGTTAAAGTGTCACAAAAATAAAAGTTAAACACAGATTTATTTATCAACCATAGTGAATGTGTCTATCCATAGTGAAAGCGGAAGCAATGTTACATAACAATAATAACTGAACTTTATTGATCTCACATTGGAGAAATTCAGCTCTGCATTTAACCCATCCCCTTGGGGAGCAGTGGGCTGCCATCGTGCGGCGCCCGGGGAGCAGTGTGGGGTTAAGGTTCTTGCTCAGGGACCAAGAGTGGCAGTGCGTGGGAGTGGGGCTTAAATTCAGAACCTTTGGATTCAAAGCACAATGTGCTAACCACTAGGCCACACTCCCCTAACCTTCAGAGAGTAGTTCAAATATATCCGCATCCCACCAGGATCCTCTAAATTCATTCTATATCTTTTATAAACCCTAAGTATCCAGTCAGGATGCAGGGAACGCTAAGCTAAAATTAAGCATTATAGCTTTGCTGACAAAGCTTTTAAAGTGTGAGATGTTGTTTTAATGATGATCATTCGCAATGTTTCGTGTTTTTTCTATAAAATCTGTGCGCTATGTCCAAAAGATGAGACATCAGTACACGTGTATATCTATTTTATGACCAAGTTTTAATAACATGCAAACAGACAAATTAAAAGGGACAGTCCTTATCGTGTACTCAAAATCTGCAATTTTCTTTATGGTCTAAAGTCAGCTGTGTGTTCCACTAATCATTACCAAGCTCTGCAGGATGATAATAGAAGATTAACTTCTTATTTGAAATCATCAGCACATCTGTGGCTTCTTTATGTGGATTACAGGGTTTATACATAACGTTTAACAGTAGTCACAAGAAGAACGAGGACAATAAAAATACCTTTTAAAGGTATTTATTTAACTCAGCAACTGCAGAAAGAATAATTTGGTATAATGCTATTACAAACGTCTTGATTTTTGCTTTCCCCCCATATCTACAGTCCTAATCTTAATGTTGCTCCTATTTCATTTGGACAAACTATTACTTTTTCCAGACAATATCATCATTTGCAATAGTTTTCCATAGAACTAGGAAATTCTCTCTTTCTAGGAAACTAGGAAATTTCTCTTTTCTGGCAGAAAAAAACAAACACAAATATAAACCTGACATAAATCCCAGCATAGTTTGATAGATGCTTTTCACAAACATAATAGATTTTTCCTGTAGTGACACAATTGATATCAATCTAAATATACGAAAAAAATATCCAAACTCATAATTCTGAATGTGCATTATACATCTGATTTTTCATTTTTATTTGTTAAAGTTTGAAAAACCAACTGAGAAAAACATTTCAGATTTTTGATATTCTTTAATTGCATAAGGTTCAGCAGTTTAGAGAAAGTTTCAAAGCAAAATAATGCACATGCACTAATGATTCTAACCTCTAATCTCCTCTTAATAAGTGCCTTAATGCTTAAACGTAGCATCTCAAGACCTCCTGCGTTACATTAACTCACTATATATAGTATATTGTATGTTTTATTTTGTATATAGCTATAGATTCTATATTCTGTATATATATCTGTCTGCACCAAGTCAAATTCATTGTAAGTGCAAACCTACTTGCCAATAAACATGATTCTGGTTCTGAACAATGATTAGATAAACTATGTGATTCTTTTTCTCCACCCAAAGACATGTCCACCTTCAAGCCCAGGGTGATTTCTCTGGCCAAGAAACCAGGTCAAACATTCGGCTTCTTTCTGAGAGTGGAACAAAATGAAGAGGGTCACCTGATCCGCTGCCTGGAAATGGGAGGTCCAGCTGAATTGGCTGGCATGAGAGACGGAGACCGCATCCTCCGGGTCAATGGAACATTTGTTGATGGGCTGCCCCACTCAGAGGTGAGCAAGCCCTCAGAGACACTTCAGTACATAAATCTAATCGATAATGTCTTTTTAACAGATTTTTTTCTTCTTCTGCATTTCTCTTGGACAGGTTGTGGAGCTGGTGAGGCGTGGCGGAACATCTGTCACATTTCACATCCTGGATGAGTCAGCTTACAAGCGCGCAAAATCTTTGGGGGTAAATCTTTCTGACCCCAAAGCGGCTGCAAATAGAGTAACCAAAGAGACTCCAAAACCAAAACTCTGCTACTTGGTCAAGTCTAGCTCAGGATATGGGTTTTCTCTTCGCTCAGTAAAAGGTAAGATGTGGAACCTCTTTAATGAGTGACAACTGAGGAAAAAAAGAACATTTACAGTACCCTTAAGAGATGGCACTCTTGGCAACAACGTGTAAAAAGTTTGACCGTTTACCTGTTTCGTGTAGCTGTTCTGTTTCAGAGCAGGTTTAGAAAAAAATCATTGATTGTTTAATCATTCAATGTTTAAAAAGTAGAGAGCTGAAGCAAAGAATGACATGTTGGGCTCACCAGGTTTCCACAAATTTCTTATTTAAAGGTTTTGAGAACATTAAAAGTATGCAAAGTATCATTCATTCTCCAAAATGCCAACACTGTCAATAAAACTATATTTGCTTTCAATTTGTGTTTAATCTAAGGACATTTTCCCAATTCAAAGTTTTATTTTTAAAAATGTTGTACTTACCAGGGATGCTAGTAACTACGGAAAAGCTGAAAAGTCTATCAAAAACCTGTGATTGGCACCAAATTCTGTTCTGTAATTATATCAACAAAAAAATATTTATATTTTTTGTCTATAATGTCAGAAAAACCAGATTAACTACAATGGGTAGAACTTGTCATCAGCTTTGTGAATGGAAAGCAAAGGTTCTGATTATGGTAGGGTTGGGTAATTTCACCATCATTCGTAACAGAACTTTCCTTGCTATAGTATTCAGGGGTATCTAAAATTTTGCAGACTGATCACAACATTTATGAAGACTGTGTGGTTACCTAGCAACAGAGCTGGAAGAACTTAGATAGGATCAGAACTACCTGACTCAAAAAAGCTGGAAATGCCTTTCAAATTTTCATGTGTTTTAAAATTATTTCTTTAGAAAATTATTAAATGATAATTTAACACATTTGTTGTTTAATATTAGGTTTATATAAAAAGATTAAATCTTGATTTATTCACCTATGATAGTGTAGAGGACACATACGAAACTCAAGGCCCACACGGCAAATCTTATCATCAATCTTTTCTTTCAAGATGTATAAAGCTGCTAAAATGATTAATTTGAATAAAAATTAAAAATACCAGAGCAGTGGGGTTTTTTTACATAAAAAAATAAAAGTTTTAATAAACCTGCTGAAGGTAGCCTTTGTAGAGACTTAATGATTGAGGAGCATCAACATGACTTTGAATCCTATTGACCCTCATTAGGTCTTCATCAGGTCAAAACTTATGCGTGAGGGCTGCTCAGTGGTGCAGTGGTTAGCACTACTGCCTTGCAGCAAGAAGGTTCTGGGTTTGATTCCTGGCCCAGGGTCTTTCTGCATGGAGTTTGCATGTTCTCCCTGAGCATGTGTGGGTTCTCTCCGGGTACTCCGGCTTCCTCCCACAGTCCAAAAACATGACTGTTAGGTTAATTGGCTTCTCTAGATTCTCCTTAGGTGTCAGTATGTGCGTGAATGGTTGTATGTCCTGTGTGTCTCTGTGTTGCCCTGCGATGGACTGGCGACCTGTCCAGGGTGGACCCCGCCTCTCGCCCATTGACTGCTGGAGATAGGCACCAGCACACCTCGCGACCCCAATTGGGAGAAGCGTGTCAGATAATGGATGGATGGATGGATGGACACTTATTTTAAAACATTTTCACTCATTTGTAGAATGTTTTTGCAGTGCAGGAGCTCTTTCAAGCTGGGAACCGATTCATTCACAACACCTGACCCAGCCAGGAATCAGAATCAGAAATACTTTAATAATTCCACGGAGAAATTACTTTCGTTACATATAGGACCAGTTTGATATAACACAATTGAATACAATATATATATAATTAGGGGGTCCCCGCTCCATCTAGACATCAGTTTGGGGGTCCTTGGCCTGGAAAACGTTGAAGACCCCTTTAATAAACAGAATGTGACTGAAGGCCTTTCAAGTCCTCATGAATCTTTAGCTGTCCTTCTGTACTGAGAAAACATTAACATTTTACTATTCACCTAAAACAGTCCATAGTGGAAACTGTGCAACCTTTCAAACAAATATTTTTTCAGTGGATTTCATCTATGCATCATTTTTGCTTTGTTGAACCAGGTGAGGAGGGGCTGTTCTTGACTGAGGTGCTCGCAGGGGGAGTAGCGGAACACGCTGGAGTCCGAAACGAAGATCGTCTGCTGGAGGTCAACGGGGATAACATAGAAAACCTCACACACGACGAGGTGGTGGAAAAGATCAAACTGGGTGGGAAAAGCACAATGTTCCTGCTTGTTGACAAGGAAACAGAGAGGTTCTATCGCAACAAAAAAGCAAAGATAGCATCATGGTCAGCAACGGTTAAGTTTCTCCCCCATCAGCCACGATTCATTAATATGATCAAAGGATCAGACGGATACGGATTCCTACTCAGAGAGGAAGCTAAACAAGCAGGCAAGGCTAAAAAGAATCACCTTTACATTTCACTAAAGTGATGTGGTTGTGGTTAAACGTCATATGCTGTGATTGTTTGCAGGGCACTTCATAAGAGAAATAGACAAAGGAAGCCCAGCAGAAAAAGCTGGTTTGAAGGAAATGGACAAAGTTGTCGCTGTGAATGGAAAGGAGGTGGAAAATTACAGCCATGACCAGGTGGTGGCCCTTATTAAGAAAAGTGACAGGAAATGCTGCTTCCTTGTGGTGGACAAGGCCACGGACAAAATGTACAAGCAGGTGAACTGCACACTTACCCTTAACATGCTTGCTTATTCCTGAGGACCCCAGGAAGATTAGTGGCCATTTGTTTGGCAGCTAATGGGGATCCTAATAAAACTAAACTAAACTGTGTACGGTTTTGATAGCATAATAATATTATGTCCCATGCCAAACAGGGTAAAGTGTCTCCTATGCTTTTCTGGGAGGAGATGAAGGATTCCAATTCCCCACCAAGTTACAATGAAGCTTTAAACTTACCTGCACCTGTAAAATCATCAATGTCTATGAAGGACAGAGAGGAGGAGCTGAGACCAAAACTCTGCAGGATGAGGAAGACCCCTGCTGGCTATGGCTTTCACCTAAATGGCATCGACGGGATGCATGGCCAGTACATCACAGAGGTAAGACCAAAGAACAACCACTGGGGGGAAAAAGACTCCATATAAAACTGATAACATCCACCTCGTTACAGGTGGTGAGGGGTGGAGCAGCAGACAAAGCTGGTCTGGAGAATGAAGACATTGTGATAGAGGTGAATGGAAAGAATGTGGAGCAGAGCACTCATGCTGAGGTTGTGAAAATAATTCGCAGAAGTGGCAACTCTCTGGAGATGCTGGTAGCCAGCAGGAACGTCTACAAACAGCTTAAAGCCAGAGGTGTGACCATTACACCCCTTCTCCTCGGGGAAACATCCAATGCTCACACTGCAGAAACTCCAGAACCCAACAGGATGGAGACATGGGAGTTGAATGAAGAAGAAATCAGACCTGGAACTCCAATACAGAGGGTGAGTGGTGCTTTCTACCACCAACAGTAATGTCTAACCAGCAGGTTTTAAGAATGACACTTCTGGCCAATAAGTGAGTTAATGAGTGCAATGGAATATTCTGCTTTATTCTGTGCAAATCTAAAAGGTACCAAGCCAATGCGTTCTTAAACTTAATTAGAATAAAACCGATCTGGACTTGGAAAAACAGTCTTTTTTTAAAGGCTCTAAAGTGATGCCATGATAAACTTTTACTTTTACTATTAAGGTGGACTAGGATTCCAGGTTGTACCCTCAGTTATCCCTATTCATTGCATAGCTTTTTGTTGCTGTGGAAAGATACAAACACACCTTAAAGCTTTTATATTGATATTTTACAGTCACATACTTCAGTGAACTCAATCATCAGGGTTTTATGCAGTACAAAACTTTCAAATGGAATAAATATGGGCTGGATTTATTACTGGAGTTTGATTGTTAAATGAGAAGTAGGAAAACTTTTTGACTAGAATATACCCAAGTAGCTCTGGCTGTATGTTTACAGACGTCCTTCTGCACAAACATGAAACTCCACCCAAAAAGTCGGTGGCCCAAATTTTTTGATGATTATTCTCTATTTGGCTCAATTAACCTTCTCACCAACTGACCAACTTCTGTCTTTGATAAATCAAATTATGATTCTGCCACCAACATGTTTCCCTGTGGGCATGGTGAGGTAAGGTAGATTTGCAGGGGTCGTTCCGTCACACATAGCATTTTGCATGTAGGTCTGTTTCAGTCTAAATCTTTTCCTCCTGTTGGTCTGTTCCTTACAAAAGCTTGACATAAACTGGACCCTTCAGACATTTTTATTAACAATGACGTTCTTGCCACTCCTCCATAAAGAGATTTGTGGAATGTTGAATGTTTGCACAGTGAAATGATAGTTTGACCTAAGCAGCACATCTCTCTTGTCACGATGGTCCTCTTGGCTAAAAAAAGCTTCCTGTCCAATCTGTCAGTTCAGGTGGATGATAATATTTTGGAAGGTTTGCTTTTGAGCAATACTCTTTCATTTCTTGAATGATGGATTGAATAGACGTTTTTATGACCTTAAACTGCATTAAACTTTTCCTGAACATTTAACACGACAATATAGCAAAGCAAAAATATTTTTGTCAAAACACTTTCAAGCTTTATTTGTTATATTGACGTAGAGATGACATTCTTCCACCCTCAGCTTAGTTATAACAAACTTTTCCTTCTTCTTTTTAGACCTCCTCTGTATCATCATCTTCATCTGAAGGCAGCCTTGATGACAGACTCTGAAAAATCCTGAATGTGGCCAACTGATATTTTTTCACCTTGTGTTCCATGACCCTCACATACTCAGGTGAAAAAAAAAGAAGAAACGGAAGAATAAAATGGCACAGCAAGGTTATTTGAAAACAAAAAAAAAAAAAATGTAATCACAGTAGAGCAGTTGTTCCATGACTGAAAGAAAAAACATTTTGCACCTTTAGCAGCATATTCACTAGGACCTCTAACAATAGGTAATAAAAAGAAGGAATTAACCTTTTCTCAAGGTAGTACAATGTCAAAATGATTTTCATACATGCAAAGCTTCAGGCGGGTACTGTGGGGTTTCTTATAAAACCGCCAATCAAGCAAATAAAGCTGTAGCATATTTATAAAGCTTTCACTGTTTTAGAGGATCAGAAAGGAACTTAAAATAGGTAATCTATAACTTCCACTTTTAACTAAATAAAACAGTAAAGTGGTGAATAAACCTGTTGACATTTAGACGTTATTGTATATGGGAGGGTTGGAGAACACAAGATTTAACCAAAATCTATTTTATTTTTATTTATACAACATCGAATGGCTACAAGACAAAAGCTACTGCTTGAAGTCCATATTTTAACAAATCTGGAGCTGGGACGAAAAAGGGAAGGACAGGAAACGCCATCTTTCCACTATGCACAGTAAGATAGACCATGATGGAGGACACCTAATAGTAAAATATCCCCTTATTTCAAGGCTTTTTACAGATTCTTACCAAAGGTGCCATTAAATGTGGATGATTCTGTATTTTCTTTAGATCAAAGCATGTGTATTGATGAATTGCCTCTTTTACATACCTGAGATTGTCAATGTTCAAGCAATTTAAAAATCATCTATCTATGCAATAAATACAGTTGCCTTTCATGTTTTTTCTTTTATTATTTCCTTCACGCATTTCTTTGCCTTTATTTAATGTTTTAAAAAAAGTTCACATTTCTCACATAAAGTAAAAAACTCAAGCTGACACCTTCCCTCCGAGTTAAGGCTGACTTTATGAGTCTGTCTCTCTCCAAAACAAAATCATAAATCAGAACATTCAAAAAAAAAGGAAGTCACAGTGGGAAAACCTTTCCCCCCTTTTTCACTCCACAGTTAAAGAAGAAATGTGTTTTGCTCAACCAGTGTGGGACGAAATAAAAATATTTAACAAATGAACCAAAAGAATACAAAACAAAGAGAATGTTTTGTATAATTTCAACAATCTTCTGTAAATACACTGTGCTACAGAGTCCAGTTGCAAAGCTTCTTCAGTTCTTGCTCCAACAGCCCTGAAACACTTTTTCTTCCTGGTTCAGGAGTAAATGCCTTTAAAACGATGGCTATACATCTTAGAACTGCAGAAAAAGCTAAGCCCATTAATCACTATTGGTGTTTAGAGGGCCATGTGTTTTTCTGGTGCCTGCTTGTGGGCAAGATAAAGGAAGAGGATGCTGGACAGCGCACTGACCAGGAAGATGACATCAAACCAGCGGTGGTAGAAGTTGAACTGGAGTTCTCCCAGAACCTCTGTTACAATAGAGCGATACTCCAGTGGCATACTCATCCGCATCAGCAGCACGGATGAAACAAAATACATCCCCTAGTAGATTGGGAGACAAAAAAACAACAAAAAAAATCCTTATATCAAACTGAACTCTGCAGAAGTCACCAAACTAAAAAGAAACACGTACTCACCATGATCTGCGCAAGGACCAGTACTATGACATTGGAAGACTTGCTGCTCGATATTGCATAGAAGAACTAAATAAATGGAGGACAAAACATTCAAGTTGTGGAAAGAGAGAAAAAACAATTTTAGGAAGCAATTTGTGCAAATATGTCAACTAAAATAGCTTTTAGCAAGATGCAGTTAAGCTGGTCTAATTGCATAATTGGTGCTGCAACAAGATCAAACCTGGATGTGAAAAATAAACTGACGGCTGATTTATGGTGTTAATCAGAACTGCAGTATTTTACATTTGTTTTTCCACAGATGGTCAGATCTTACCTTTGTTAGTGTGATGAGCAAACCTCTTATGGAAGTGACAATTATTATTCCAACCAAGATGAAGGAAATATGCTGAGACCAGAATTTCACCTGGAAAAGAGAGAAAACCACTGAGCAAAAGCCAAAACTTGAAAAAAATTCAAAAGCATGAAACTAGAGATCTTAAATTACACCCCTCTAGTGTGAACCTTTAATGTGAGCACAATGAACTAAAGCAGGATGAGGTCAACTGCAGAGAGAACAAGGAGAGGCGATAATGGGCAGTAAGTTATCTAAATAAGAGGTCACTCTGTGTCATCTTGGGTGGATACCTGTGGCTTTTTAGAGGCATAAAACAATTACCTGAGAGGTAAATCATTAATTTAATCTTTATATTTCATTTCAGGGTTGGCATTAAGATTGAAGGGGTGGTGGCTGCAGAGATTGTGAAAAAAGATTTATGTAATCATAAAAAAGTGAAAGAAAACCATTCATAAACATTTATTTGTACATGTGATGAAGTTTCTTACGTCAAACTGGATCCCCAAGTAGTTTACTGTTATTTCGATACCCCTCGTCACTGGATCCGTCTTTCCAACTCGATCAAACACTATGTTTATCGTGGCCTATAGTTGACAGAAAAATAAAATCAACTGCATCACATCTTTAAGAGAAGAGACATAAGAAGTCTTGATTTTAACCAACAGTTTAGTGGCTGTTGATGTGAGATAGAAAATATGAATGCAGTATTCTTACCATGAAGATTTTCCAAACACAATAGATGGAAAAGAAGTAACCGAGAAAGTTGAAGTATTTCCCCTGGAATGTCTTTGAGTACTCGATTCGTTCCTGAAGATCAAGAAGAATTGTATGGAAATAAAAAACATCAATTAACTTTCCACTTATCCACAAGGTAAATATACATGACTGCATTAATAAGCTGAGAGTGCTGTAGGTTAAATGTTTAGTCTAGGTGAGAAAATCTGCAGATTTGCATTGATATAAATATTTTGCTGTCATGTTCAAAAACCAATGTTTACCAACATTATATACTTATATAATATACAGTATACTCCCATTCAAAGGACAACACACAGAGAAATGCTTCTATCCTGTGCTGCTTAACTATTGTAGTCATATATTTTTTGCATGACAAACTTGAGCTGAGCGCAGCTCTCTGTTGGTCATAAAGCTGTGTTAAATTCAGGAATGAAGGCCTTGTAAACTAAGATGCTTTGGAAAAACTTTAGGTTGTTTTTCTGCTTGAAGGTGAGAGCTTTATGGCTGCTCTATGCGTGTCTGTGTGTGTGTGTGTCTCTGTTTACAACCAAAGTTATGACTGTCCACATGTGTGAACAGAGAGTTTACACAAAGTTTTTTAAATGGTCACAATTAGCCTCAATGTGAAAAGTTCTCATCAATAAAACCAACTCTTTGCCCTTTTGAGAAGAGAAGCAGCTTTAGGTGGAATTCAGCTAAACTGAAATTTCTTCTGTGTACAACTAAAGCCAATAATATTTATATCACAAGTAAATTAAGATTTTAATATAATTGAATTAATAACATCTTTCTTTGCAGCTTTAATAATGGATAATAATAGAATAGTTATTACTTAAAAATGTAAGAATGATAATAATAAAAAAGAAGAGTGGGTTAGCTTGAGACAACTTGTGTCTGTGGATGAAAGCTACAAGGACAAAAGGACCTGGCCAACTATCCAAAGAAACTTGGAGCTCATTTCAAAAATGTATTTGGGCTTCTCTGTCTGCGAGGTTTTTAGTAAATTAATCGTTTTCATCTTTACATGTTTAATCTGAAATTAGAGCTAGTTATCAAGGGTGGACATGCACCCTACTGAATACCTTTATGTGATAAAGTCTTAATTTGGAAATGTATTCAAAGTGACTGATGAAGGAAACAGGTGAGTAACCAGTAACTATCTATAACCTGAGGCCTGCAAACCCAAACAAGGGAAAAGATGAACGGCACAGCAGGACAACAGAGATAACTTATGTCGGATTATCTCCACGTTTAACGATCCCAGCCACACATATCAAGTTGACACTAATTCTTCACTAAATGTTTTCAACCTAAGGTTTGTTCTGTCATATTTGCTTCCACTGTCATGCAGGGATCACCCCTGTGTGCGGCAGACACACAGATCTGTTACCTTGGTAGCTTGCAGATCCACAGTCTCCAGGAAGAGTTGTCGACTCAGCTCCTCCAAAGCATCAACTTCCTGTTGAATCAAGGACAGATCTGTAGCGAGGAAGTCAGGGATCACACCGACTACTATCTTTTTCTGGACCAGTTACTTAGCATCTAAAAAGTCGGAATCTTTGCATCCAGACATGAAGGATACTTTCACTGCCTGTTTGTGTAGAGGTGACGCTCTTAATCATGCCCCAGAAACCAGTCTGCTTGTTTTGGTCCTCTCCTCGTTGATACATCTGCCTCCTTGTCATGGCGATTCTTCACAGACAAGACAAAAGTACAACATTTTGCAGAAATGAAAAGGTTCTTGAAGATTAAGAGGGGGAAAAAAAAGAAAACATTGAAAAAGGTCAAATAAAATCATCCAACCTTTTCTTTTTGCTGACAATCATATCCATGGTTTGGAGCAGCCGCCTCTCCAGGGCAAGAATGTCACTATCTGTTACATTTCTGTGAAAACCACAGAAACTAGCTATGAAGACACAGTGCCACCTTCTGCACAAATAGTAAAGAAATATACCTGAGGGGGCTCACCTGAGAAAATAGGACATATATGTATATGGACAGTTGACAGCACCAAACCCTGAGAGCAAAGCCATTAGAGTGACTCCGATCACACCAACACGACTGATCAGCTGCTCAATGGACAAAATTCCTAAAAAAATAAAAAAATAAAAAATCATTAAAACACATTAAATAACAAACAGCTGTGAGACATGACTGTACAGCACTTTACAGATGCTCGGTTTCACACTTTGTCACATTGCCATACCAAGCGGTGTTGCATTTTATTTGGGTATCATGTGATAGACCGAAACAAGCAGCACATAGCTGTGAAAGGGAAGTAAAACTGTTTTTCTTTTTTACTATTCTGAAAAAAAAATCTCCAAGGCTTTTATAGAATAGATGTATTCATACTGACAAAATTGAATTGTGTCAATTTTTTGTTCCCATCTTCCCCTTTCGAGAGCCAACAATTATTGTGGTGACTTCAAAGATAATCTTTTGAGATAATCTTGCTGTGTGCATTTTGGAAAGAGTGATCTTGTGAACTTGAAAAGATGTTGGTACCACGCTGATTTTCTTATTCTGATGTTTATTTCTCTGTTAAAATCAGACCACAAAGTATCTCCATTTGTTCTTCCTCGACAGCCATGTTCATTTACTCTTAACTCACATTTGATCTTCAGAGGTTCTCTGAGATTTCTCCTCTGACACCTGAATTTTCCCGATTGAAATGTTTGTGTGGTGTGCTTCCTGGTTACTGTACTTAATCTAGTCATAATACACAGAACAATAGTCAACAACAGATATTAGAACAACTGACCCATGTACTTTAGTCAATGGATTACATAAACATAAGTGGATGGAAGTCGAGGTTTTTCATCAGCTTGGTTATATCAGAGATTTTAGATGGAGGCTAATATATTCCATTCTTTTTTTGTCCTTTTACTGATATCATGCTAATTTGTAATATCAATATCAGATGGGGATATTCCTACAAAACAATGGTAAAAGCATTACACACTCACCGTGTTTTGGACTCAAGATAGGAAATGGGTCTCCCAACTTCCAGAAGAAATACATGAAGGTGAACCACACCATACAGGCAAAAAGAAGTCTTTGCCTATGCACTGATTAGAGAAGAAATGAGTTCAGCATCAGATCATCAACGTATCACTTCCAAATATTTGGTGCAAAGAGGGATTTTTTTCTATAATAATTTGAACTTACATAGTCTTATGTTGCTGACAACAAAGTAACCAATATAGAAAGGCACCACAAAGATTAGAACCAGCAGAATCACATACAGATTCAGCTTCCAGTGAAAATATCTGGAGCTAGAACAAAATAGGATAATTAACAACCTTTTTTTCCACTTTCAAAAAATTGAATAAGTTATCATCCTCAAAATAAACTCCCACTTACGTGCTGCTTAAGGCCCCGAGAATCTCAAAAATGATGAGCTCAAACATTGTGCAAGAAAATGCGAAGGTCACGGAGAAAACCACCTGGACAACATACTGTCGCACCTGAAAAAGAAAAACAAAGACAGACAATAAAACCTTTACATGTTCTTTTAAATAATCCTGAGCAAACTGCGATCTTGCAAGAATCAAAAAACATGAATTGTCTTTAGGAAATATTGGAGGCACTTGTGCAACAACTTGACAACCTATAGCCTATAGCTATCTGCCATTGTTCACTCACTGACATAGACAACTAATATTGCAAGAAATATAGGCAATAAAGCCATACCTCATAATCTTTAAACAGCTGTCGCATGAAGAATAACCATCCAAACCCAAAAAACAGCACCTGGAGTGAAATATGAAGAAATTATTTAGTAGAAAAGCAATAACCAATTTAAATCCAGTGGTCTATAACATACAAAAAAAGATGGAGTAAACTTTCTTAAACTGATTACCTGAGATGTGAACATGATGACTGAGTCCACTAGAAACGACATGACGAAGAAGTCTGTAAAATAACACAAAAATACTTAAAATAAACACACTGCTGGTGTGCCACAGATTACACGAAAGCTTTAGTTCATTTTAGCCCAAAAACAAGATACAGCAGTTCTTATATGAAGTAAACTGCGTATTTTGTGTGAAACATTTTGGCAGCGCTCGCTTAGCTGTCAAGACACCACAGCAGACCGCCTCCAACACACTTCCGTCGCAGAAATATTACGTATGTTACACCGCAAAATAATAATATTAAAAAAAAAAGATAAATGACAATAATGTAATGCCATTTTGGATAAAACTGAAAATTAAATGGAGGATAGTAACCATTTGTAATTTATTTGAAAATATAACATTCCTTGAAAAAAAAAAATATAAATAGATAATAATATATATATTATAAAAAAAAAAAAAACAACCAGTAAGGGTCCAGAGACGTATTAAAGACAGTGCGTCAATCTCGCCGCCATATTGTGAGTGATTTTGGTTTCGCTTATTTTCATTTATTCGGTTTTGTGATGCTGAAGAAAACTAAAATACATATACTGTACACATAGGGTTGATTTTACAACTGAGTAATTTATTAGAAAACACATTTATATAATCACTCTTATTTTCAATCTAAGAGTCATTTGTGTGCACTGTGTTTCAAATAGTTTTCCTTTTTTTTTGCAGATATTTTTGCCTTCGATATCTCTATATATTTCTTAGCAAGACAAACTTTTTAAACATATCTATCAAAATCAGATAACCCTAAAATTCCATACGAAAAAAAAAGCTTTATATTAATATTATTTTCTTCCGTCATCGTTTTCTAAGTGTTGACACTGACAGCAAAGTATCATGACCCTAGGGGGCGCCATGGAACAGAAAAATAAAGATTAGTTTCACAGACAGCGCTTCATTTGTGTTCTAACAGAAATGCAGTGTTTGCCACCGGTTGGTTTTCAGTCTGAGGAGAGCGCGGAAGAAAAAGGCAACAGGTTAGAAGGAGCAGAAAGTTGCCTGTTGTATGTCGATACGCCCAAAAGACTGCTGGATTATAAGGATGCAGAAGATGTTGCAGAGGTAGACCATCGTTATTGCTTTACACTTAATTGGAGGCAGAAGGTGAGTTTCTCTGTAAGCAAATCTGATACAACTTTTACTTTAGAAAACTATTTATAGACTCTGATATGATCCCTTTGATGAACAAAGGACTGAGACTTCATACTTTGAAATGTTGCATTAGTCAATATATAACATGTTTGCAAATTTTCAAATATTTCAAAATTGGGTTACAATTTTATAGAGTTGGGAAAATGTGTTGAACTTAAACTGTATGTCTTTCTTCGATATTATATTTGCCAATAAACAATGGTGCAAACGGTTTTAACCTATTTCCTCTACCATAAAAGGTAGATGCCTTTCTCTTGTACTTCTACTCAGTCCAAAAAAGTAAAAAAAAAAGTTAAATAACAAACCACTGGATTTTGTTTTCCAAGTTTGAAGGCGTTTTGCTTCCCATCCATACTGAGAATCTTCACCAGCATACTTCTACATAGGTTTATAACACTCATTTAGGAGTAATTACTTGAACCCCACTTTTCCTGATCAAAGTGATAGTATTTATTGAAATCAAACCTACATTGAGAAGTGCTTCATTATAGTGCAGTCGTAGGTATAATTTCCTTGCCTTGATTCTCTCCAGATACTCCAATGGTCCTAAATTAATCTTCCCCAGGTCTATTGATGGCTGTCTTTGTACAGTTTAACACCAGCTGTCCTATATCTTTTTGCCTCTTTTCCACTAACTGCAATGTAAAGGCGTAGGGCACCCACAATCCAGACAAATCGATCAGACATGGAAAATAGATGAATGAAAGAATAGTAATGTCACATAAACAGTTTATAATCATAATCTAGGGTAGGGTTGAGTGTTTTCTATCACTGCTTTGTTGAAACTCCCAGTTGTATGTAATCTTCAATCACTTTTACTCAAAATGTAGCTGTCAAATGAAAGGTTAAATTGTTTAGGAAAGAGTTGCCCCAAGTCCAGTCTTCAGCGTTAAGCTCTTAAGCTTTTACATGCATCCTTTCCCTAACACTCTTAAATAATGCTTCTTCACCCAGGCTCTGCAGAGCTGAATGTCACACACAATTCATCTCACAATACAAACACTAAACAAAAACTCAAGCCCACCATGAATGAGAAATGAATGGAGAATCATTAATGTCCATAGAACAGTACATCATTTATAATCATGTACTATAAGGAAGATAACCAAGGAAGAACTGCCGGCTTCAAAATAGAAACCCGGAGGCTTGATCTTTAACTATTTGCATCTAAAAGACAAAAGTCGTCAGGAAGAAGAGTTTTAGTCAGATAAGACAAAGAAAGAGATGTTTGGCCAATGTGAAAAGAAGGTGTTCTCTAATGCTAAGAATGAATGAATTAGAATTTAATTTTATTGTCATTACACAGTCACAAGAACAGAGCAACGAAATGAACTCTCTGCATTTAAGCCATCCCTTTGGGGAGCAGTGGGCTGCCACTGTGCGGTGCCCAGGGAGCAGTGTGGGGTTAGGGGTCTTGCTCAGGGACTCAGATTCACAGTCCATGGGAGTGTGTGGGACTTGAACTCAGAACCTCCGACACCCAAGAGCAATGCTCTACTATGCCATCACTCAAGGTTTTAAAAGTCTTGACTGTCAAACAAGGTGTTAGTAGTGACTTGTGGTGGACTGTATAGTTAACAGTATTTCTTGTGCATTGTATAAGTGGATGGAATATTAAATAATATCTACGTCCAAAATATTGAGCTTTAACTTAAATCAAATTCACAGCTAGATGAATTATATCTGGACACATTGGGGCATTGCGGTACAACCCTGGTCCCTAAAAAACTCACAGAAATATGAGTCCAGGGTTTAATTACATTTCATCAACAGTATTTAGACAAAATTAAGACAAAATCTATTTAATCCATGAAGAGTATCTTATAAGTAATGATCACAACTGTGACAATGTTTATGAAATATAAGACTAACTTTTCTTTCTTTACCCCAGTGAAAGATGATGATCCCTGTCACATGTAGAACAGGTCTTCAGGTGTTTTTTCTCCTACTATTGGTGGGACAAACAAATGGTAAGAAGCAGCATACAAAACCGAAAAAAATATAAAAGAACTACATCAGCTCATTGTTTTGTGACAAAAATATTGGTTTAGGCAGAGTGACGGCACCAGCACGTTTAAAAGCACCATTGGACAAGCCTTTCACACTCACCTGCACTGTTTCGAAGGAACGCAGTGATTCCTTGAGGAAAGTCCTCTGGCTAGACACGCAGAACCAAACCCTGCTGACATACGAGCCAGGAGACAAAGAGAGTATATTGGCACAACAGCATGTGGAGCTCGCCTCCTCCTCATCAAAGGATACCTCATCTATCACCATTCGCAGAGTGGGTTTCCGCGATGAAGGCTGCTACACCTGCATCTTTGAGCTAAATCTTTCAGGCTCTAAGCAGGGGCAGACATGCCTCACTGTTGATGGTAAGTGAAATATTCATAATTATTTTGATCCTAACAAAGTTGCACTGTCCGAAAAGAAGAAAAGTATTCCTGCTGCTGCTTTCTTTATGCCATTGATGTACGACACATTATTATTTGTCTTCTGTGATTTAGTGGACAAAATATTCACAAAAGCAGAGTAGATCTTATAAATATATGTTTTTTTTAGCAGGGTGGGGTGATTAGATGTACTCTATTGATGGATTATAGACCAATTGGAAGCAAGTAGAAATTAATCAGAAAAATCCAAGAATTGAACCCTGTGGAACTCCATTATTAATTACGAAGTGAGTTACAGCTTGATGACATTAAGACACCTATGTGTTTTGTATTTTAGGTTATAAAATGTACCTCATTCAGAAAGAAGAGTCGTGAACTTTATTTTGTAAAGTTTTCACTTAAAGTAATAGGAAGAAACAGACCCTAGAGATAAGCTTATGAGCAACAAGTTATCCTCTGTTTGGCACAGACGAGTTCCACATCTGTTTTTAAGGTTTAAGGTGATAAATGGGTTAGGAAAGTTTTTCTAGAGGATAGTAGCCAATATAAATCAGGGATAACTTGGCCTTAACAAATATGTCACAAGGGTATCATAAATTATAGTGGCCTGTCCTCAATCTCTATTGTTGCAATTGACAGTGTTTCATGGTTGCTGGATAATTTCCCTTTCGCAGGCAAGACTCCATACTGAAAATATGCATATATTTATGTTCATAACCACTGCTGACCTCTGACCAGAAACTGATGAGTGTGCTAAGACTCACCCAGTCACATTAATAAAAAGCTGTGCAGCAGTGCAAGAAGGGGGGCTTATGCTCCTAAGCAAAAACAGCTGGAGCAGATTCCATTGACTGGATTCTGTTTGGATACCTAATATTCTCAATATTAACTTTTCTTTTTCTTGTGTGTCACAGTGTTTATTATTTGTTACACTAAATTAACCTTTTCTTTTTATTCCCAGCTGAAGTTACATCTGATAAAAACACAACAGCAGTGAGCGGAAAGAAGGTTTCCCTGTCATGCGCCTTCGGGTTGCCTGAAAAGGTACAACAGATACTGTGGAAGCATACTTCTGCTCATGGCGAATCAAATGAGGTGGCCTCTTTTGCAAAGCAGAGCGATCCTATGATCGAGCCACGTTATCAGGGGAGGGCCTGGCTATCGGCCTCCCTCTCACACAGTGAGCTTACAATCCAGCCTGTTGCCATTAAGGATGAGGGTTGCTACACCTGCGTCTATGAGACACATTCTGATGGAATAAAGAGCTCTGTGATCTGCCTCTCCACCTATGGTAAATATCTTCTTTTAAGTTAATCTTTTTACATCTATATAATACTAACAAAACTTTACCAATAAAAAAATTAGGCGTTTCTTTATTTGATCCAAGATCATTTATTTTCTTCTCTTTATTCAAGTTGAGGTCTTAAAAAATATTTTTATTTTAAGTAAATGTTCTTCTTGCTGTAAATAAAAAAAAAGTATATATTTTTTTATGACCCTTTAAAATACATTTGTTAACAAAAGAAAAAAGAAAACTAAGTTCTGTGCAAAAATACCCAATTCCTTCATTGGTGAGCTGGTGATGTCTTCTCCTGAAAGTTTGTTGGTGCAGTGCAGTGTAGTTGTATCAAAGTTATGTTATTTCTTATTGTAGTTTTTAGCATTTTCTTTAAATTAAAAGGGTTTCTCCTTTCACATGAAGCACATGCACTTGAATTCCTAACCCTTTATTAAAGCTTTTTCGTCCTTCTATGTGTTTATAGTATAGATGCGTTTCAGTCAGTCAACAGAAAGTTCCTTCATTGTATTGTTTGAAAAGGGATATATAGAGATTTAATACACAGATTACTTAAAAAAAGTTTTCTAAACATATTCTTATGATCAGAGAAAAACAGAAATTAAGAGAGACTTTGAGCGTTTACACTCCAGAGCAGAAGGTGGCGGTACTGCGACCAAAGTCAACCACCAGTAGTAAACAAGAAGAAGAAGAAGCGAAGCAGCGTAGCCGGGTGTAGCAGAAAAAAATCAGTTGTTGTGGAGAATTGTGTCGGACTGGCGAGTGGGAAAGAACAGGAGTTGGAAGACGCGCCAGCAGCACTTTATAGGTCTGCTGTATGGGACCACTTTGCATTTAGAGTGACCTACAGTACGATGACGGCGGAAAGAAAGTTGTGGATAAAAGTGCAACAGTGTGCAAGCATTGTGCAAAATATTTTGTTTATCCTAATAGCAACATGACTAACATGTCATGCTAACCCCGAAATCCCACATACTCCGTCAGCGCTGCGCCCCGCTGCGCTCCAGACCGCATGCATAAAGCAAAGTATACAGCCTCTGCTGCGGCTCCTGTCCGCTCCGCTCCGAGTTCCTTGTAGATCGTAGAGGGCATGCGCGAGATGATTAAATTCAAAGCATCAAAACATGTGGAAATGATCCAAGGTTTCCGCGAATCATTAAAAATAATTGCAATCCATTAATTTTTTGGGGGATTTTTTCATTAATTTCATAAATTTTTATGGGATCAACATATACCGAACCGAAACTGTGACCACGAAACCGTGAATCGAACCGAACCGTGGATTTTGTGAATCGTTCCACCCCTAACCAGGACATTATAATCTAAAATATCAGACACTTGAATGTCCCTCTATGTGTAATAAAGCTACAATTAAGACTTCTAAAGATCATAGCGGTAATCGCAGCATTAGGCTTGAAGTAATCTATCACTTTAACAATATGCCTTTTCTCTCACTTTAAGTTATTTTAACCCACAGTCCCAAATTTAATCTGATGGATAATCTTAGGAGGTAAATAAGGCTGATAATAAAAAGACCTATACTCAAAGCTCTACAATAAAGATATATTGTTAAAATACTTCCAGAAATATTTAACAATTACAGTCAGCAGATATTAAAAGAGTTTAATTGGGTGTAATTAGTTTTTAACAAATCTCTTTTTGTAAATGCAATTTTTCTTTATTTACATTGATATACTGCTATACTTTGAGGAATTCCCATTTCATGTCTCCTTAGGAGCAAACTTCTTTGTTCATTAAAAGAAAAACAATTCAAATCTGTTTTTTGATTTACAAATGTTTCTGTCAGAAAGAATGCAACTTTAATTCTAGTAGTTTTTTGATTAATTGCCTAATTACAGTTACATTTGAATTGACATGTCTAGTTTCTTAAAGTGTAGATCATAGTTCTAAAAATTCCTTTAAGGAGAAAACATTTCAAAACAATAGGAAAAGTGACAAACAGTAAACTAGACTGTATGAAGTGTTACAGTTTCTAATAACAAAGCTTGCCTGTTGCGTTATAGAGTTAGTGGGAGCATCTTCAGTCTCAGTCATAATTACCTTTCACACAGAAACTGAAAGGCTCATTTTAAGACTTTACAATCAGACCTTCCACTCAGATTTGCTCCAGAAGGGAAGTTCCCCATGACAGCACTTCATACCAATCTCACACACTTATGAAATTTTAGCTTTACTAAATATTAAATAGCACAAAGGTGGAAAAGCCTTTTCAAACTTTTTGCATTTAGACTTAAGAAAGCTGAGAGAAATGAATCAAAGCACAATGTGTAACTCGACTTACTTTTACACTGAGATTTATATTTAGCCTTTTGTTTTTTTATAAGGTACTGCATAGAGGAATTTTATTTAGGTTTAGGTAGCAGTGTTTAAAATTATCTTTTAGGCCCCTGCAAGAAGTTCTGGTTTATAAATTTAGCCAGATTAAGTAACACGTACTGTAGGTAGGATTACTCATTTTATAGCTTGAGATTAATCCACTCATTCCTTATTTGTTCACTTATTATTAATATTTAAATGAAAAATAACAAATTTTGAAGTTAAGAAGTTTGTAGTGAAACAGATCAGAGTAGAAAGATACTGTTGGGATTTGTACATGAATATTAATCTTTTTTTCCTCCTCAGTTCTGAATTATTTTATGATGCAGCAGCAGGGTCAGAGTTTGGCCAGCCCGCTTCCACACAAACACTAAACAATAATGCCCATGTGCAGAATGGAGCGTTTGAAAGAATGATGGAGGAAGGGAGTGACGTCCAGATGCATGACTGTGTCAGTGTTTGCAGCGCACAGAGATTTCTTCTGTGCTTTGTCTGCCCCTCCTTTGTTTTCATGTGCGTTTCAACTCGTTAGTTTTAGGGAACAGATGTACTTTTGTTTGAAATTAAACTATATTAAACTTCTGCTAAGGCATAAGGAACATTTTTAGCTTTTGGTTATTGCTGCATATTATTGTCTATATTCTGTTTGGATTCACTACACTTCAAAAAGTGAACTAGAAGTAGGTAAAATTTAGACATAATTTGCATTCAAATAAGTGTATTTTCACTTGATGTGAATAAGTAAGTAAATATATATGAGATATATTTTAGGTCAATGCAAAATGTACAGTGTACATCTTGGATTGCATAATGACCCCTGCTTTTTTTCAGACTTTCAAACACTCTGAACAATAATGACAGATACAAGCACAAGTCCATTAATCATCCTTCAGTGACAGCAGGAAGCAGAGACCTAATCACTTTGAAATTACAACCAGACCAAGAAAAAACTATATGAACAGAGGGATTCATAATGGATTTTTGGACATACAGTGCAAATATGTTTATGATCTGCCTGGGAAAGAAAGTTCACAACTTTGAATTGTAATATTAGACAGTAGAGTCAGTAAAATATGTTGTTCTTAATCTGTCAATCAAAATATTCAATTGTGCATTAGCTTTCTTAACAATCCCCCAACACTTGTTTATCATCAGGTTTTTATTTTGTTTGTCTATCACATGTCAGTAAAACTTATCTTAGAAAAGAGCATTATTTTCACCTTCAGAACTGCTCTTTAAATGAATATATTTTTTGTTTTAGCTTCATTCTGTTTTATGTTTGTTTTTTCATATAATTTAATATCTTAAGCTGTACAGATCCATCCTGGGTTTTATCTCCAGTTTAGGCTGGATGTGGAAGAAGAATATTATGTAACTTCCCAGTTTAACTCTGCTTAACCATGTGTAGTCCTTTATGTTTACCATATCTACTTTTAGAAGCATATCAGAAAGGTCAAACTGGTTTGTAGATTATGATAATGACCCCAGTGTGCTGAAAATAATCTCCAATCCACCAGATTATTTTCAGTGTGAGGGAAAAGTAAAACTGCAATGTGGATTTGCAGACAATTCTTTGCTATTATAAAATGCTACATTGCAAAAACGTTCTGAAAATGAGTAAAGATTTCTTAAAATAAGCGTATTTACCTTTAATTTGAGAAAATAAAATAATCTTCCAATGGAATTAACATTATTAGCAAAATCAACTTAGTCAACTTAGTTAGAACTATATGTTTTGCAGTGTATCATGCAGGTAAGCATTTAAAACCTTAAGGGAAGCTTTTAACACATTGCTGCATGTTTGCCACAAAGAGGTAATCTATTTTTTAGTCTTAAAATTGTGTGATCAACAAATTGTATCTATCTGGAAGAAAGGGAATGTTTTTGAGCTTAAAAAGTTTACTTTTTAAGTTAAGCTGTGCCAAATAATACAGCATTAAAAAAAAAGTAATAATTCCTAAAACTTACCTCAAGTTTAGGATGTGGGAGCTATTTACCCTCCTTACTATACAGTAACACTTGTCCGTGCTTCTTAAAGATCTGTCATAAAGGTCGTCATTACAAACCAAAAAGACGGGAAAAAGTCACTGTCCCACCCTAAACCCTAAGTGTCTAAATATTTTCCAAATATCACAGGTGGGCATGAAGCAAAGCCAGAAAGCCTGATCCACCTCCAATGCCCTGAATATGCCCACCCTGATTATTTTAAATCATTTTCGAAAGTAGTCTGATAGGAAATGGGATTTAAAGAGGGGGAAGTCGGGGTAAAGGTGATTCAGGTGAGACTCAAACCCACAACAGCTGAGGTGAAGAATAAGGCCTTTGAAATAAGTCTATTTGAAAATCTATTCAATTTCAACAGCCTACTGTAGCGCACTTTAGCGCACTCAGTAATCATGTGTTTTTGTCAAAATTTTCAATGAAAAAGCACTCTGAAATTTTAAACAAGACAAAAAGATAAGATGTTTAAATTGTCCTTTACAAATTATGTTCAGCTTAACTTTAGTTTCTTACAGATTTTCTGTTAACACACTGCTTCAGATCTATAAGCCTCCCCTACCAAGCTATGAGATGTTATTGTGGTTTGACTTATGATCTGAATTTTTGTTTTTGTTGAGCTCCAACCCACCCTGAAAATCTAAGTTGTCATCCAGCCCAAAGGTGGATGAAATTCTTTAGT